CCTTCCGCCGGTATTCCGGTTGTTTGCCTTTGGGCAGTCCCTGCGGTAGTGCCCCGTGTCTCCGCACTCAAAGCAGGCGCGGCTTACCCCGGTATTAGTAGTGGGGACGGATGGTTGGGTTGGCCCTTTGCAATAGCGGGCTGTATGTCCCTTCTTATTACACTTGGTGCATTGAAGATCAGGGCAAGGACCGTGGTGGTGGAAGCTGCATCGGTTGCATTTAGGAAGTTTCCCATTATATGAGCTTGTGGGGGCAGGGTTCACAGGTACAGTCATAGCGTGGGTCGCTATTACTTGTTGTTTCTTGGGGTTTTCCTGGAGAGTTTGTCCCCTCCTTTTGTTCCAAGGCCTACTCTGGCCCTGAGCCTCCCTAGGTGGATTTGCGGTTGTTGAAATGATACTGGGTTTTACTCCGTGGTCGATGAGTCGCTGAGCCAGGCGTTTAGCGCTGTTGTAGGTAACAGGGCCGGAAGCTAGGACATGCCCTTGAATCTGGGGTGACAACCCCCAAATGTACCTTTCAACCTTCTTTGATTCTGGGTTGACCATGGTAGGGCACAGTGCAGCGAGGTCGTTGAACCTAGCTGTGTAGGTGACTAGGTCAGACCCAGTCATTTTCAGATTCCAGAGCTCCTGCTCAAGCTTTTGCACTTCGCCCCTTGGGCAGTATTCTTCCAGTAGTAGAACCTTTAGATCGTCCCAACTCATGGCGTTGGCGACAGTGAGCGTCACTGAATTCACATGGCTTTTCCACCAAGTGAGGGCTCGATCTACGAAAGTGCAAGCAGCGAACTTGACTTTGCTTGCTTCTAGGCATGAGCAGATCTCGAAGACCGTTTCGGTCTTCTCGAACCATTGCATTAGTGCAATGACTCCCCCAGTTCCATTAAAAGTTTTTGGCTTAGCGTTAGAGAACTCCTTGTAAGTACATTCTCTTCCTTGGCCATGACCAGTGCCATGATTTGGATGATTCGTGCTGCTTCCCGCCCCTCCATTTCCGTGGGAGTTTATTTGCGAGAGGGCTGCAGTTACTGCTGCTGTGATAGCAGCCTGGACCATGGCTGGATCATAAGCTGGTGGTGGAGGTGGTGGTGGTACCGTGCCCGGCCTGGGCCTTAGGTTTGGACGAGGAGGCATCGTGCTGCCAAAAGAAAAAATATGGAAAAATTTATAAGTTTTGGCAGTTCAGAGTTGAATGATATTGAGTTAACTTCTAATAGTTCTAAGAAGTTGGGTTTGACTGACACAATGTTTTGAGCTTGAAAGTAAAGTTTGAATAGATGTACCAATGAATCGAACGATTTGCGCATGATTAACAACAACAAGAAAAGGGGTATACCCTTATATATATTAAACATATAGTTGTGTTACAGCGGGGTCTAGACAAAATTTCTTGGCCTTTCTAAAGGCCTCCGATTACAGAACAATTTAAAGAAAATAATACTTTTATCCGAAGTCCTAATTTATAACAAAATTTGAGAGTTGGGCAAGTACTACTTGCGGTGCGCTTTGCGTTTGGAGCTCGACTCCGTGTCGGACTGCTTCGACTCCATGAGGCGTCTATCAAACGCAGCTTGTTGTTCTCTTAATTCTGCGAAGGCCGCATTTGCTTGTGCTTGAAACGCTTCGGCGCGAATGTGGATGTCGTTCTGCAACAACTCTAGGCGGTTGATATCGGCCGTGTGGATTTGTACTTCCACATTGACCTCTCGGATTCGGTTGGCTTGCACTCCGGATTGATAGCACTGGTTGGCGAGTTTGCCAACCATGACCGGAAGTGCGCGGTCGGCTGATCCCCCGCCTCTCACATCATAGAAGTCTCGGCACATGCCGTAAGGAGGGCGTAAGCTTTGTTGTTGGCTCCAATGATGGAGGTGACTTCCCCACACTGGAGTGGGTCCTTGGAAATTCCTCACGTGGACGGGAGATTGTGGGATTGGTGGATTTATAATTTCTGGCTCCGAATCCGTGCCAGAGTCATCCCCTCCCTCCAACTCTATAGGCTCTTCGTCTTCTTCAGGATCTTCTTCGATCCACCCTCCATTACCTTGGTTGGGGTAGTAGGGGTCATTGGGGTGATGGAATCCCGCCATTTAGACTGTACGAGAATAGAGTTAAAAGTTTACTATAAGCTAGAGCACATGAAACTTACCCTTAAGTTTAATGGTTGACGGCACTCGAATACTCCCTCAATATTCTTTAGCGATATGCTTTTGGTAAGTTTTAAATTTGTTGTCCATTACAGACACTCCTTGGCATACGTTAGTCGGCTCTTGGACAAATATAGTTGATCAGGCTATATTCTTCCCAGTTCCGATTACATGTCCCAAGGCGTACCTGTGCTGCACAACTTATTTATAATACTTCTAAAGTTATTTACTATGAAACTGTTATTAGTATAAAAATGAGTGCATGCTTACCTTAAAACTAATTAGATTTACTTTCAAAAGTATGAATTTTCTCAGAGTGTTTTTGCCCAGTTGAGTTTATAGTTGTATATCAAAAAGGAATGGTTTTGATATACTTAATTCCCTATAAACAAAGCTCTGATACCAATCTGTCACACCCCCAAACCAGAACGGCGGAAACGTTCGGGGGCGGAGGACGTCATATTCAGTATCATAACAGTTCATAGAAAGGAAAGTACACACCACCATATATATTAAAGTTTCCAAGATGTTTACATAGTTGTATTCATTACATGTTCAAAAGATAAATACATAAACATCATTCAAAAGAAGTAATTAACGCCAGCGCGTTAATCCCAAAAGTTGATTCCCAAACCTGCTTAGCGGTTCCCTGAGAATACAAGTTATTTCAAAGAAAAAGTGTCAACAATTAAGTTGGTGAGTTCATAAGTAGTTTAGAAAAATTGGATGCCATTCCAAAATGGGTGTATATTTTCCAGAAAACGCAGCATTTCAAATGTAAAGAGTTGTGATTTGTTGTGTTGAAAGTGAATGTATTAGATCCAGAAAATCCCATATTTTCCCTAATGGTTGAAATACGAGTTGTTGTGTTTTCCAAGAAAAACCCTTATTTTCTTATAAAAGTATGAAATGCATATAAATGTTCGTGTTATAAGTTGTAAATAATTGCACCAGGAAAATCCCTTATTTTCCTATTAGTTGTTTGGTTTGTATGCAGGAGAAACCCTTATTTTCCTAACATAAATGGCAGTCTCTAAGACCGAAAATCGCAAGAAACCGACGTTCTCAAAAGTTGTGTCATAGTTTTATATAATAAAACTATACGAAGATCGCATTTGTTAGATGAAGAATAGTTTTAATAGCTACTCGTTCATAAAAGCATAATACCATAATAATTGTATATCCGATGAGTTTTATAACCATACTAAACATAATATGCCTGTAACGACGTTCTTCAGGCGTCGCAGCGTTATGACAACTGTCACCCCAAAAGACGGACTGTAGCTAACAGTCAGGGCGCGGGATCATGACTTCCCGTATAGATCTATACACATTTGACACGTTCTCCGAACGGGAGACTCTGGTTATAGACAGGACTTGCAGCATTACTTTCTAATAAAGAAAAGTAACGTTTGAAGATATACACGTCTCATGGATTCTCAATTAAGCCCGTATTAAAGTGATAGTTTTCTATGCAAAGTTTATCCTTTTTCACAATGTTTGACAAATCAAAATCATAAGTTTTTAGAATGTATAAAACGACTTAGCAATGAAAGGTACTTTGAAATCGTTATATACTTTGTATAAGTCTAATGCACACAAAGTATGACAAGAGTTTTCCATAATAGTAATGAGTTCCAAGTGATTTATTCGGTAAAACAAGCTAAGTGAAACTTTATAAAATACACGATAATAACCGTATGTTTACTTGTATTCCCCCCCTAAAAGAGTATAAAAGCATTTGAAAATGTATTTAAAGTGTGTTTGAAAGGGGTATGAACTCACTTGAAAGCTTGAAGATAGCAAGATGGAAAACCGGGCAGAGTTTCGTCTCGGGAAATGGATTTTTCTCGGAAATCTCAGGATTCCTCGGGAGAAAAATCGACCTTCGGGACTTCCACAAAATGACCAGGGCTTCGGGGTAGTGCGAGCACGGAAAACGAGGTAAAACGCAAGAAAAAGGAGAGAGAATGGGCCATTTTCCCGGGAACCCTCGCATGCTATTTATAGGGGGGCCTGAGAGGCCTCGTACGCGGGGCGTACGCTCGTACGCAGCGCGTACGCGTACGTCATGCGTGACCGAAGCCTCGACTGCCTCAGCCTCGGATGGGACGGGTCGGGTCGGGTGCCTCGCATAGGGCAACATGGACGGTTTGAGGCCAAGTTCCTCGGGTACGCGGGGCGTACAGGGGTACGCAGCGCATACCTCGGATGAGGACGCTGACTCCCCTTCGGATAATACCGAAGTTTTAATAAAAAAAAATATATAAATTAATTATCAAACTTCGAAAATTCATATCTCCTTCATACGAACTCCGTTTTTGACGTTCTTTATATCCCCGCGAAGGTGAGACTACGATCTACAACTTTCATTTAGATTCCGTTGGCCAATTCCGGAATTATTTTTATTATTTATTTATTAAATTGACGTGATTAAGAAATTTCTTTAAAAATTCATAACTTATTCATACGATGTCCGATTTGAGCGTTCTTTTTATGCATGTTTGTAGTTTAACGATATCTACGACTTTCATTTAGACACCTAAGGTCGGAAAGTGTTTTATTGAAACTTTGCGTTTTTACGCAACTTCGTATTGCTGGTTTTTGTCGGAAAACTTAGAATGAGCATAACTTCTTCGTTATAACTCGGATTTTTGTGTTATTGATATGTTTGGAAACCTTAAGACGATAGCTACCACATAGTGTACTCCAAATAGAGTTTTTGAATACTTCATTTTTCGATGATATTCTATTTCCTTTCTCAAAGAGGTTACAGGACTCGATTTTTACTGACTTGAAATAACGGGTTGTTACAGAAGGTACTTCAACACCTGTTTAGACACTAAAGAAATGAAAAGCGCAAGTCGGTTCATCTAGACCAACTCAAACTCCCAAAAAGAAGTGAAAGGTTATAGAGGCGGCTCGCAGGAAACGAACTCCAAATACCAGTGGAAGTGAAAGTTCGCTGTCTGCCACTCACTCTAACGGTTGCATTTCAGATGATGAGCCGGTACACCACGAAGATACTACAACAACTTCACATCCTGAGGTTTCGCAGTCCATCACTACAAACCCTGAGGTTCCCTTATCTGTGCCCAAATTTACACCCACTTATAATGATTTCTTCCAAACTCCTCCCCAATCACCTGAAACCACCACTACATCCATCACCATTGCACCTTGTCCGCCTCTCATAGTTTTGCAACCTCTGCGCAATGATCCCCTATCAACCCCCTTATATACCGATTCCATCACCACCACAACCACCAGTGAACCTCTTGTCACTGTCAACACATTTAATGTCGGGGTAGGAGCTTCAGGTTTCACTATCGGTCATTCTACCCCACCAGTCTCACTTCTCCGAAAGGGAGATTCAAATACCCTTTTTTGGAGGTGATGGATTTTATTTTGAGGCTTTTCACTACAGTACCTTCAGATTTCAAGTGGATAGTGATGACGACGCTCCGATCACTCAGTGGTATCTCAAGGCAATCAACAAGAAACTGGATTCGTTGATAAATTCCTCCACTGCTTCGCCCAGTGATGTGTATTCGCAAGCAGTTATCAAGGCAATGTTTGACACTTTGACGAAAGAGCATACTGAGAGCTTAGGAAAGGCAAACAAGGCTGTAGAAGATTCAGTAGCATCCTATCAAGCAACGATCGAAAAAATGGAAAAACTAATTTTTGAAACTCAAACATTCATGACGATCTTCCAGAATTCCTTCGAGAAAAACACTTCCAAAGTGAATGAGGTGATCACCAATCTTGGGCTAACTCTCCGTACCAAAAAGGAGTCTCTTGCAACAATTTGCACCAAACTTCAACATGACCACACTAAATTTCATACTTTTGGTTTTTCTTGAACAGGGTGTTTTGGTGTTTCGGTGCAGTTGTGACTTTCGGTGCTGTTGTAACTTTTGATTTTTCGTAGAGTATTATTCATGAGTTTACTCTCGCTGATCTTCCGTGTCTTAACCCCTATGACTATATAGTTTTGTTGCATTTCCTTTTGTGGGAAGAGAAGAAATATGAGTTGATAGTGGAGCATATAAAGAGGATGTTAGGTTCGTACATCTATGAAGTTGCAAAACTTGAGAGTGATATCGCCACTGTAATGCATCAAAAGGCAGTTGTACTTCCCCATAGCTCAGAAAGTGATGTTAACAAGATGCAGATGGGGAAGATAGACAAAAACAACTAGACCGTGATGTTCCACCGTGGGTTTGTGGAACGTGGCGACTTTGCAAAGTGTCTGTTCACACTTCGTGATAAACATCTATTCTCCACTACGTGCCTGAATTACATGTTGGAGATTACTGGAAAATGTCCAGCGAATGATGATGGTGCGAAGAAGAACTATTAAGATATGATTAAATGGTCTATTGCTTTTCGCAACACTCTTTTCGCAATTATGCCCAAGCTCTTCAAGACTATGAAGAAGGAACCAAAGTAAAGAGTCTCCTGCCTCAATTGACGCACAGGGGGAGATTGTTGGGTATATTATGTTGCGTCATTATACTTATTGCATAGTCCATTTGTTATTGGGTTGGGCCTGTACACCCGTTATTTATTATATTAGGGTTTTACTAAGAAGACACCAAAGTAAAGAGCCTCCAGCCTCAATTTACGCAAAGAGGGAGATTGTTGGGTATATTATGCTGCGTCATTGTACTTATTGCATAGTCCATTTGTTATTGGGTTCGGCCTGTCCACCCATTATTTATGATATTAGGGTTTTACTATTTAAGGTGCATGCATGCACCATATACATGGTAATCGTGTCATTGTAAACCCTACATAGCCTCTACAGTAGCAATTCTTCATCGATCTCTTCTGAGGCTATAACTTTTAATCATTCAACATATTGTTGATTCATATTTTATTCTTTATTGTTTTTACTTGTTTGAATCTAATCGATCTTAAGAATTTTTAACTCAGCATGACTACTAGTGAATGCTATGGCTACCCCCGCAATCTTATAACACTTTCCATACCGGGTCGAACACGCACTCGACCTGACACTCAACTGAACTTGAGTACAAACTGGAGCTCTAACCTCTTCCCCGAAACCTGCTATCTGATGCAAAGGATAGTGTGTACCAAATGTTGGAATGTTTTCTGAACTCCAAACTCACAATCCGCAACCTAAACGGCCACTCGATCGCCTTCCTCCCTGACGGGGATGTGAACTCATCCTAGATTCTGTAACAGCCCGGAATTTCAGGTATTTCTTTAAATTATTTTTGGGGCACATTTAGGAGGGGACTCGGCGAGTTGGTGCATGACTCGCCGAGTAGGGCCATGGTCTTGGTCGCAGATACGCGACTGGACTCGACGAGTCCAATAGGGACTCGGCGAGTCGACGCTGTTCAGCTGAACCCTAGCCGTTTCGATTCTGAATCGTATATAATGATCTTATGGCCGTCATGTCGCGTCTTTTGGCCGATTGAAGATACCTTGGGAGTTTGTGGGCATCTGGAGCAAGAGTGAGGGCTAGAGGAAGCTTGAAGAGATTGTTAGACAAGGAGAGGCAAGGTAGTGATCAAAAGAAGTCCAAGGAGTCGAGTACTGGAGGTTGGGGACACAGGGAACACGTTTCCAGGTAATCTTCGGATCATAATCTGTAGCTTTTACGTTGTATGTGAATTTAGGGTTTAGGAAACCCATTTAAGGAATTGTTAGATTATAGTGTTGTTACAAGTGTTTAAAAACCCCTGTAATAGTATATGTGAAAGTCCAGGAAGCCCCATATCTATATACTTCGAAATCATGCGAAATACAGGAGGCAGCGGGTTGACTGCATGGCTAGGACTCGCCGAGTTGTTCTTCAGACTCGGCGAGTAGCTTGAAGATTCACTAGGACTCGCCGAGTTGCTCTTCAGACTCGGCGAGTAGCTTGAAGATCTACTAGAACTCGCCGAGTCGTTCTTTAGACTCGGCGAGTGGAGTCGGGGTGTCTATACTCGCCGAGTTGCCCTTTGCACTCGACGAGTCCAGTCAAGATTGACCGTTGACCTGTATGTAACTTAGTAGGATCAGTTGTCTTGTTTGATAAGATCATTAATAAAGGTGTGTGGTATTATAGGGAACCTGCGGATTAGCGGACCGAGTGCGAGTAGCTCGAAGGGTTTATAGCTTGCATACTACGAGGTGAGTCTTCTCACTATACTTCACCCGGAAGGGTTTGACTGTGAGACCGGAAGGTCGTGTGTGTTGTATTTATGCTATGTCTAGGGAGGTAGATACTTGGTATGTGATGTATGCTTATATGTGATGTATGCTTATACGGGCCGGAAGGCGTGACTTATGTGATAGAAAGAATGGTATGATGTATGACTTATGTGTTATGTGTGATATGCTATATGTGTTTTGTTTATACTGTTATGGGCCGGAAGGCAAAATACTATGGGCCGGAAGGCAATGTAATACGGGCCGGAAGGCGATATGTTATGGGCCGGAAGGCGATTATGTTATGGGCCGGAAGGCAATGTTATGTGGACCTAAAGGTCCGGGCCGGAAGGCGTAGGTGGGTAAGTCGTATACTGGGGAACTCACTAAGCATTTATGCTTACTAGTTGTGTTTACGTTTTTCAGGTACTAGTGATGACCGTGGGAAGGCGCCGGCATGACACGTACACACTGCCATTGTTGAAGATCTTGGAGATTTATTATTTATACTTTTGCAATAAACTTGGAATAAACTCTTTTGTCGAATAATGATGCTTTGTTTTAAATGAAAATTTTATTTGAAAATTTGAGTTGTTACAATTGGTATCAGAGCCTTGGTTTGAGGGATTCGGGTGTACTTTCGGGTGCAACTGAACTCAGACCGTGGATTTGAGGAAAAACCTTTTTAAAATAATAAGGACACAACATTTCATAAATGGTAAGGCGGTAAAACAAGAACGGAGCAGTGTGTACGATCAGCCAGCGCCCGAACGGTAAAGATCCCCAGAATACCTTACAAAGTTATGTTATGCACTGAATTATGAATTGTTATGCATGCTAGAAGACTAGGTATACATGATAGGACTAGAATTGCCTGTTTTGTAATGCCTTAGTCTAGGGAGATTGCTTATATGAGATATTTGGTAGCGTGCAAGTAGATAGTGCATACTAGAGGTAGAGTACTCATTATTCGGGATTTGGGGAGGAAGATTTGGGACGAATACTGATACGGTGTGGTCGGTAGTATTGGGCCCGTACTACCGAAGGCACCGGATCAGTGGAAGACTCAAGTAAGAATCCCTGGAAATCGGAGACTGAGTAGGGCGCGTATCGAGTACAATTGTACTTGGTAGAGTCTCTGATGATTTTATATTGTATTTCAGAGATATCATGGTCATCACACGCAATGGGGCGAGTTCGAGCGGTGCGAGTGACGAGGAGATTCGTCAGATTATTCAGGAAGAGGTAGCTGCGGCGGTCCGGGCTGAGATCCCGGAGATGTTTGGGTCTATTAAGACCACCCTGATGGAGGAGTTTGAGGAGCGGTACGCCGCACTTACTGAAGCTGCAGTCGCTGCCTCTACCGCAGCTGTGGCTGCTGCTAGGCCGCAAGGGGGTGATTCGTTGTTATTCAGGGAATTCAGTAACACGAAACCCCCTGAGTTCGATGGGACGCAGGATCTGATTGCGGCTATAAGGTGGATCTCCGACATTGAGGGGTGTTTCTATACTTGCTCATGCCCGGAGCACTTGAGGGTACGGTTCGCCTTGAACCAGCTCCGTCTGGGAGCGAAGGATTGGTGGAAGTTCGTGACGGCGAACTTTACTCAGGCAGAGATTTCAGCGGTAACATGGGAGAGGTTTACAGCGATGTTCAGAGACGAGTACGTTCCCCCGGTAGAGAGGGAGCGATTGATTCAGGAGTTCTTGACCCTTAAGCAGGGTACTGATTCCGTGGCGGTGATCACGCGGAAGTTTCATGAGAGGGCAATGTTCTGCCCTGAGCTGGTATCTACGGAGCAGTCGCGGATGAGCCGCTATTTGGGTGTTTTGAAGAGGGAGATCCGGGAGTTTGTGTCAAACTCCACCTATCGTACTTTCACTGAGCTTCAGGCGAACGCCAGGAAGCGCGAGATCGAGTTGGAGACTCAAGCGAGGGAGGAGGCTGAGTCTCGGCAGGTGGATCGACGACCGGCTCAGTCTCAGCCGGCAGCCAAGCGGACTAAGTTCGTTGATTCGAGGATGGGAGGTCCGAAGGGTCGCACTTGTGCGAAGTGCGGCAAGAGTCACGAGGGGGTGTGTCGAGCTGGTGGTTGCTACAAGTGTGGCAAGGAGGGACATATTGCCAGGGATTGCCCTAAGGGGTTTATGGTTTGCTTTCACTGCAACCAGACAGGCCATCGGAAGGCCGAGTGTCCGCAACTTCGTCAGGGAGCTACACCTACTACCCGGACTACTGAGACCCGACCGGCGAAGGTCGAGGCCCCGAGGGCTCGCGGGAGAGCCTTTCAGCTGACTGCGGAGGAGGTCCGCGCTGCGCCCGATGTTGTGGCAGGTATGTTATCATTCACGTATGTACTTAAAGATCGAAATGCTATGCTTATGTTAATGTATGTGTAGGTACTTTCCTTGTGAACTCTATGCCTGCTCTAGTGTTATTTGATTCGGGTGCGAGTAGATCGTTTGTATCGTTAGCTTTTAGTCAGCACATCAACATTAGTCGTGAGCCGTTAAGGCGGCCTTTGAGCGTTTCTATTGCGGCTGAGAGGGTGATTTGTGCTACGGAGGTTCTTCGGGGATGTGTTCTAGAGATCTTCGGGGTCGCGTTTCCGATTGACCTCATTCCTATTGCGATGGGGGATGTCTGTGTCATTGTAGGCATGGACTGGTTGAGCCGATTCAGCGCTGTCATCGACTGCGAGCGTCAGCTGGTGACTATACGAGACCCTAGTGGGGGAGTTCTTACGGTATACGGCGAGGGTACCCGTTCGGGAGCAGCTTTTTGTTCGGCCGCTAGGGCGAGACAATGCCTGCAGCGGGGATGTAATGGTTTTGTGGCGTATGTGATGGATACGCGGGAGAGTTCCGAGAGACCAAAGACACTGAAGGAGGTTCCAGTGGTGCGCGAGTTCCCAGATGTTTTTCCCGAGGATTTGCCGGGAGTACCTCCTGTGAGGCAAGTAGAGTTTGGTATCGATCTAGTTCCAGGGGCTGCGCCTATTGCGAAGGTGCCTTATCGTCTTGCACCTCCAG